CCTGCCGGGAGGAGACCTCGGCCATGTTCTCTGGTTCATTGCTCGAACCTAGAGAACTTAATGGCCGAGCCCAGTGCCTAAGACCGTTTCTCAATTCACGCGACCGATGGAGGTTATCTACATTTGATAGCCACTGAGGTGGCCAAGAAATATAGACAACACCCTTCGGCGCATAAAATTGTTGATGAAATGAACGTTCGGGCACCTGACATTTAATATTTTCCTGAGTTCAGATGCGTCATAATAAAATTAATAAAGAAATGAGGGTGAACCTTACAAAGGTCGAGGTAACTTCTTGTGGAGGAATGTTGAGGTCTTTATCTTATGGATGGAACGACGTTTCGGCCGTCCCCTTAGGCTCAACCAAGGGCCTCTTCCCACGATTAGCCATAGAAGGATCCGGTTGAACGGCCGCCTCGACCACAGGAGGAGGGTGGACGGAAGAAAGGTTAGTTGATCGAGGGAGACGCTCAAGCGAAATTTTGTCGCTCTCGTCGCTCTCATCATCCTGAAATAAAAGCTGTTACGACTTGAAAATTGGATAAACGAAGATCATTAGCAATGGAATCATACCTCTTCCAAAATGATCGTCGATCGTTAGATAGGGGATGCCTCGACAGGTGCGGTCGTCTCCTCCAAGACAGGCTCAATGACCAGCTCCGAAGCCACAGTTGGAGCAGCAGCCGGTTTGGCCATAACCTCAGTCGTCGGTACGGACCAGGGGTAGTTGGTCAGCTAAGGCCTGGACAACCGGGGCTGGAGGAGAGACGACAGGAGCTGTCATTCCCGTGGTCTGGCTGGAGATAACGTGAATCTCCCGTTCCCTCTTTTTCGCCAATTTCTTGACGCGTTTCGAATGGCAAGAAGCGTCATCTCCCGTCTCGGCACCCTGATTGGGTCGTTTGGTCAGCAGGGTTCGCCTGATAATTTTAATCTTGTTCGAGGAGATGACCTACTTTTTCTTGGCCACCGCCGCGGCGATCACGTCCACTTTCTTCGACAATCGACCATCTGAGAAAACAAGATCACATTAGAAAATGACTACCAGACAATTGAAGAAAGAAATAGAAGAAAAGGTAGCCGTCTACCTCGGGCCGGCTCTTTAGATTGAGAGGCAGAGATTCTCCTCGGTTAGTCGCCGAAAACGACATACTAGAAATTCGTCGTCGGAGAGAACTTCTAGGCCGAAGAGGTATTTGAAGACTTCTTTGGCCTGGTGAGGAAGCGGCGGCCGAGATGCCAACTGAAGGCCGAGCGAAGTAGTAGGTTGAAAGGTAGAGACATCCGGCCAAAGCGTGGTAAAATAGACTTGTGGTAAAATAGGTTTGGGTCAATTTTTCCAATGGTCGCTTCAGCCAGGCAGCGGAAAAAATTGGCGAAAACTGCCGAGCTAAACGCCAGGCTGTGACCACTGCCAGGGCTTCGGCCACAGGCATGTTCTCGACCAAGCACTTGTTTAACCGGGTATAACAAATGAATTTGTTGTACCAGTAAAATAGGAAGGCTTCATGTTCTCCCTTCCTAAGACTCTCATCGCCTCGACCAGCGAAGTGGAGGATGAGGGTGTTGTAGTTGAAGAAGTTCTTGTGTAGCTTCTGAACCTCTTTTTTCGAAGGTTCTCGACCATCTCGACTCAGTGTTTCAACGACTCAATCTTCGAAGAACGCCTTAAGGTCGAGATTCGACGGGTGCCCAAAGAGAGCCGCATCTATCGGGATGCCAGATGAAGGAGTCCCGAGAATAGCCAAGACGTCAAGGATAGTAGGGCCTAGAGGGCCAAAAGGAAAGACCATGGTGTTGGTGGCCAAACACCAGAAACTCAGCACTGCCATGAGGAACTCTTTATCCATGATTAGCTCTATAGTCGAAAGCTTGATGGCATCATAGATACCAAGAGCTTTCCACTCTTGGCCGAAGAAGTTGTCCATTCGGACGACCCAAGCCACCTAGTTGGCATTGGTCGTGAGCCAGGCTCCTTGGGGCCTCGATAGGTCCCATTTTGACCAATCAAACCCTTGCAGCAAGGGTGTCAGGCAGTGAGCCTTGAAGAAAGTAGTGATTGACGAAGAAACTGCATCCTTAAAGAGCGGCCCCAGGATTTGGTGGGTGGTGTTCAGGTCACCCTCGAAACGCAGAGTTTTGATGGCGTTCCGATCGATGAAGCTCTTGCATTTGCTGTATTCGTCACTGAGCTTGGAAATGAAGGTGCTGGAACTCATTTTGGAATTTAGAAGAATGCTTGGGAAGATTTCTGGGGTAGGAGTTTGTTTTCTGGGATTTAGAAAGCAAAATGGTTGAGAGAGTCTTTGAAGGTTTCTGGAAACGTGAATGTAAATAAAAGGAATTCAAGTATTTATAGGCGTTCCAGAAAGAAGATCAAACATTTGGTATTCAAAAGCGCTAGATTTTTTAATTTGAGGAAAAAATCGACCGGGAAATAGCCAATCATTTCGGATATCTCGGGAATCTTCAAGGGTAGGATCGAGGTTTTCGGGGATTTGGGACGCACGATTGCATGCTGCAGCGGTTTTAATGCATTGATGAAGAAGAGACGTTTGGACGAGCGCATGTTTTCGAGGGCCATAATTGAGAGTTGTTAGGTTTATCAAAGAATCGACACGTGGCAGTACGTCGGAAGGAACGAAGATCGTGCAATCATATTCCATAAATGCGCATAGTAGTGGTTATCGAGAACAATTAAGTCTAAAGGCAAAAGATGTTTTCACTTCTTCAAGGTCGAGATCCAACCAAAGGTTGGCAGTCGACGACCTCAGAAGCGAGGGGGCAATGTTTGGGCCCAAAATAATATTGTTGGGCCGATGGTAGGTTTGTGCTCGGCCCAAAGCCGTGTCCAAAGTACTATGGGCTGTCTGGTGATTCCGGGCCATCAGCAAGGATGGTCGAGTCCTATCAGAAGAAGGAGTAGTTAGCAAAGAGGTCGATGAAGTCCTAGTGCAATTAGGATTCTTGACCAACAATGAATAAAGCCCTAAAAAGGAGTGAGTTCAAAGTCCTAGTGGGAGTAGGGTTGTTCGAAGCAAAGTTGGAACAAAACATGGAATCCTAGTCCGAATATGAGTTTAATTTAAACTCAAGAAGAAGTTGGTGCTATAAATACAAGACATTATGCAACAATTCAGGACCTCCAATTCAACACACAATTACCCTGCGCAAACCTCTCAAACAACTTGAGATTTTTTTTTTTCTTTTTCTCGCCAACACACCTTCAGTTTGGATAAACAGCACTGTGAAGGCAACCGGCGAACACCTTCAGTTTGGATAAACAGCATTGTTGCCATAGAATCAACCGACCAAGGAGCACCTTCAGTTTAGATAAACAGCACTGCGTCGAGGCCGACTGGTTACCTATCCAAGTCTCGGTCGAGAAGGGTTTTCAAATCCTTATTAGCAGATGTCATCTTATTAGCCTTTTCGACGAAGTAAGGTGTTACGAGTTACGACATTCGGCGTACTGGACGCCGAGTGATTTTATGATTGGATACTCATAAGTGAGTTTCAGAGTTCGGCATTCTGACGGCCGAACCACATTCACCATCAAGACATACATTACCTTTGAATACTTGTGTCCGTACAGTCTGGTGTCGATTCAACGTGCTTATACTCTTATGAATATAATTACTGTGACCAAGTCGAGCGCCGACGATTTGTGAACTTCGCAGAACTAACAGCCTTGTCTTCGAGCTAGAGAATCCAAAGGCCAAGATTTGTTCCTTCCTCGACCACAATCACAAGATAAAGAAGTCAGCAACGCGCTCAACGCAACATCAACAAATTTTACTCCTCAGCCGAGCTCGGCCAACGAGTTGGCACGCCCCGCATTCAACCGAAGGATATAGTTAGCTTATTAGTTACTTGGTCTGCGCGTCGCGTAGGCTTTGTAATTTTTAGGATCAACACCGACACAAATGCTATTTTTTTACCCAATATGTGTGTGAGTGTGACAGTAATACACACAAACTTTTTTACGTGTACATATTCTTTTTTGTCCACAAGCTCTCCACCATGGTTGAAATGGCATACACGGTGTAGGCAATATCTAACGACTAACCGTTGGCGCCGTGGTGGCTTTCTTTGACCAAGAGGAAGCTTAAGTAAGGAGTAACTCTGACCACAGAGACGCCAATGAAGCCTTTATGAGAAGCTACAGAAGGAAGAACACCTTTCTTCCAAGCAAGGAGGGATGATTGATGACAGGGCGAAGGGATGTTTTTGTTTAAGATTTTATCTTTCATTTCTTCTTCTCAAGAAAAATAAAGAGGGGCCGGGGGTACAATTGTTATTCCTAATTAATGTTAGCACGAGAATTACTTCTGAAAAGAAATAGCACATGTGCCTTCACCTCAAAACAAATTTTGGTGAATTATATAGAATGAGCTTTCTTCTCGAAAGATATTATGCCTTTTCAAACCACTCTCAAACGGACTCTTAGCTTGATAGTTGATATCATACTATTAATTTGTTCCAAGACTATTTTACAAGAATTGGGAATCCCAACTTATATCAAATTCAACTGTCCATCATACAAGTGGTCGTCTTATTCTCAAACATTGTTTCCATAATTGTCAAATATTTCAGCGACGGGAATAACTAGGTATCATAAACATGGTGCGTACAAATTGTGATAAAGCACATCTGGAACATTCAACACTCTTTCTTCTCAACTTGTTTAGTGCATATTGCTGGCCACTAGGCGGAGATTCCATGCATGAACAAAGAGTAAAAATTTAAGGGAATGTGATCCATTATTCTAATAGATAGGACATTGAATTTCAACTTATGGTCTGAAGTTCAAAACTTTCTTTTTCCCTAAATTATTATAATAGTTTTGAACCATTCTTCTTCCCCTTAATACTAATAATAATAATTAGTAAAGAAAGTAAAAATTTAAGAAGTGCCTTCACAAAAAATAAATAAATAAACAAAAACGAAGAAAATTATGAAAATTAAACCGACCACCAATCTGTAACAGGAAAATCACGGATCATAATGTACATGTAGTATACATAAAAGAAAATCTTTTTAATCTCCAATCCTAAGAATCTAAAAACATACTAAAGAAAGAAAGTTTCAAAGGAAGCAAAAAGACACTTCAAAAGAAAAACCACCTATCAATCTTTTGTTTTTCCTTCATTTCATTTTCACAACTCTTGAATTTTGAAAACAATACGTCTATCGACAGATTCAAGAAGACCAATGTCATCAATCGATTGACATTCGGAACTATCATCGTCATCAAATGAAATGTTCAAATCCAGAGACACACAAGGGCTTGTTTCCTCTAAAGCAGCAATATCCCTATTATCTTCATCATGAGGCCCTTCTGATAATTTTTGCTTGATAGGAGGAGAGCAAGCTCTCGATCTCGAGCTGAAGCTTTCGCAGCTCAAAATAATGATAGCATCTCCAAGACCAACTTCTTCGCCACTCGAATTGGTTATCCGTCCTCGTTCAATTGCTCTCCTAAACCCCATTTGAGAGCAATAGTCCGCTTGCTCCACATCTTCGACTAAAAACACCCTATGGGGATTAGATGACACTGCCTCTGCGAATCTTTCGACATAACTGAAACTTTGCTCGTCTCTCAATCTCTTGTTCCTGCAGTTCTCAGTTGAATCAGCTCGAGTCGATGAGAAACTGCTTAGTGCAATGGAAGTAAGGTTGGTTTGGGAACCGAAAACAAGCCTAGCCAACTCCCTTGCAACTTTTAACTTAGCTTCCATATCAAGCCCCTGAAAGAACAACCATGTTTCCTGTTTAGTGCCATCATTGTAACTTCCCATCTTATTCCCTTTTCTTCTAACCATGCCTGACCTACATTTCAAGATTGTGCTTGAAATTTCGGGAATTATATCCTTCTGCCATGGGACTTTGCTTTCCAATGCAGTGCATAGGATTTTAAGATTTTCGGCATTTAGCTCCTTGAACCTCTGGATATACTCATCAGTTTCCATGACAATATCACTAGATGAGGCTGAAGTAGGGGTAGAATTGGGATTTGATGAAAGTGGTTGTTTTGGACTAGTATTGTTCTCTGGAATGTACATTCTCAAACTGGGCTGATCATCAACGGCCTTGCTGCAATTAGATCCAGATATCCAGAAATGTTGGTGCCTCCATGACTGATGCTGGTGGTGCAAATTAGGGTTTTGTTGTTGTTGCTCATATGAAAAGTTGGAAGTAGAGGATGAGGGTGAGAGAGAAGAGATTAATGTGAGGGTTTTCTCCGAGGAATTATTGGAAAGTTGTTGGTGCATTGAACCGCAAGTGGAGTTCCACTTTTTGCAAAGGTCTGAAATTGTAACAGAGTTCTGTGTACAAAAAAAGAAAACAAAATAATTGCAAAGAAAAAAGTTAGTTTTGTAGTACTTCTATTAGTGCTAGATGGGCCATATAAACGTAGATATATAGGTAATAATTGTGAATAAGTTGAAGAGGTTGAGATATGTTATAATTAGAACCTGATCATTAGCACTGCTTAGTACTTTGTTCTCGTTTTTGTACTGTTGGAGCCATGCAGGAAGGCTTGAAGTGGTGGATTCACTGTTGCAAATGCTGCTGCTTTGTTGTACATTTCGAGCTTCGGCTTCAAACTTGGCGGAGCATTCTGCGCAACAAGTGAGCTGCTTCGGATCTCCACCTTCAAGCATTTGCTTGTTGCTTCCAGTTTCAGCGATCTTACTTGTAGACTGATCACTTTGTAAGTCATGGCTGTAAATACAAGTTGATGTTAATAAGAACAATAACCTGACTACGTTAGTATTCAAGCAGAATGGGTACTGCTAAAGACTGTATTTAACAAGAGATACAGTTAAAAGAGGAGTCTTAGTAAATGTTGAAGTTCTCCTTGTTCACAATTCCCCGTCCAATTAAAAAGGAAGATAAAAATAAAGTGCATGGTGACTTAAAGAATAGAGAGGTTCACGAATTTCAAAAGGGGAAATAGAAAAAAAAAAAAAAAAAAAGGACTTAGTCAATAGTTTGCACATTTCCCTCAAGATAAACGGATATAAAGATTTAACACATGAACATTTTCTAAAAGAGAGTAAGGGAGATGAAATGAAAGTATGCAAAAATTTTGTAAATTTTTAATTACCATTACTAATTAATTAGTTGCTTAATTTATACCTGTTGGTGACAAGACTCAAACGCAGGCTGCTTGAGGGAATTGTAAGAGGGTGAATACCCCAAACAGTCTCCAGAGATGGATGGCCAGATTTACATCTCATGTAAGTTTGGAAGGTAGCCATCCCCACAATCCAAAGCCTCCCATTCGAATGATCTCCATTGTTAATGCCACAAAGCAAGTTCCCAAGCTCCATGATCATGTGTTCCACAGGACAATAATACCCCCTTCCCTGATCACTTGAACTACTAGCCCTATATTCGCTAGTCCACCTGAGATCTCCCACATACAAGATAACGCCTTTGGTCACACAACTTCTCACTAGGCTTTTGAGTTCTTCAAGCTTCTGCTCAACCTGTACTCTAGACATCTGTCTAAAAGAGGAGAGAGTACGGGTTATGAATTTCACCTCTCTCAAAGCCTCAACAACATCTCCCCTCTCAACTTTGTCCATTACTCCTCTAACCACACCCTCAACACTAGCAAGACACTCTCCCACAACCACAATACTTTTCCTTCTTTTGTTCACTAAATTCTGTATAACACATGCCACATCCTCTTTCCTAATACTTGGATCTACAGGCAGCACTGGCTTTCCATCTTTGACTACTCTAATTTGACTACCAATTGAAGGAAACTGATGAGGGTTGACTACCAGGAGATTACTATTGCTTTCCTTGGACTTGCTACTCACAGAAGGTGTTTGGGAATTACATATTTCTAATGAGACAGCTTGTTCTACATTGCTTTTCACTTGGGTACTAGAGAACCCAGCTTCTCTCATTACTCTACTAACACTTGGATCATCTAAGATGGAAATTATGAGTTGCTCCAACTCTATTTTCACAGCTAGGAGGGGCTGCTGCTGGTTCTCAATTGAACCACGCCTTTGGTGAGCTTGAGCACGCTTGAAAGCCGCAACCAAGGCATTGGAGATGGAAGGGTGTTGGGGGTGAGAGCCCAACATGGGGCTAGAATTGGAAGCTGGGAGGCGGTTGAGGGCAACATTGAAGCAAAGCTCAAGGGCTTTGCATTGGAGAGGGTGAGAGTGTGATTGAAGGCAAGCGGTTCGCAACAGACCTGTTGAAGAAGAAAGCATGGTGCTTGCAACGTGGAGAGGAGTTACTTGGGCATGGCCACGATGCCTTGCTAGGGTTACTGCTTGCTTTACTATGTTTGCAGCCTCTGTGGTTAGACCTTGTTGAAGTGTGCAACCTCCTGCTCTCATCTTCAACTCTTATGATCACCGATCACCTGCCTTAATAATAAGAAAAGGAAGGTTAAATTCGATGGTGAATCTGTAGATAGAGAACTTGTTGAGATATTAGGTTCTTGGGCTGGTGATCAGTTTAGTGGATAAAGAAAGAAGTGAGGTGGATTTTGAAAGAGACTAAGGAGTGTTGGAACTCAGTTATGTGCAGCTAGATCAGTTATATATGCAGTGCAGTGGTAACGAGATTTTGTTAACTAGCGATCTAGATGATAGTATTGAGAGAAAGAAAGTCAGGAGGATACACAAGAAGATCTAGAGAGAGATAGGAAAGAGAGAGTGAAGGCCAAGGGGGTGTGAAATTTATGGGAGAGTGGAGTGGTGCTTTTCTTGTAGGTGAGGTAAAAATTGGGGTCCAAAGTCGATTTGTAGTGGAAAGTGGAATGCATGTGCTAACAATGAAGCAGGACTCTAATGTTATGCACCAGTATCAAAGGCAACTCAGCTTTGCCTTCTCTCTTTAATTCTATCACACATCAAACTTGATAAAAGATATGGTATTCATTTCGAAGTGGGTCTCTCTCTTTTATGCAAAAGAATTTGTTAAATAATAAACATTAATGATAGGGTACTAACCTAGAAACAAACACCCTTATTATTTATAAAACAAATCTTTGATAGGAAATGTTCTCTTGTCAAACATCTTTAAGTTGTATGTAAATTTTAACTATTGGTCAGATAGATTCTTACTTTAGTATTTATAATCCAAACTCAAAGCTTAATATTTACAATATGTAAGAATGTAAAGTGTTGTTCTATATCAGAAACGATGGAAAGTAAAAGACTTTGATGTGCTTAAGGGAGTTGGGCTAGTTCTTATATTGTCAATTAGTTTTATGATGGAGCTATTGTCTTCATGGTATTAGAGCAGATTAACCCACGTGTAAAAGTCCAACAGCCACACAAACTTCATATCACCCAATATGTGTTGTTTACGTGTTTGGCTTGAGTATCAACACATGTGAGGGGCGTATGAGAATGTGGAGTGGTGTTCCACATCAACTGATCTACATCACTCAAATTGTGGTATCCACGTGTTTGGCCTAAGTATTGCCATGCATGAGGGAGCATTTGAGGATATAAAATGTTGTCTCACATTAAAAAGTTAAATAATCTTGCATTTGCTTATATAAAATTGATTTAATTCCTATTTTGCAAATTAATTTTATGCTGCAATTTCAAACTTCCTTCACAACATACATTTTTATGCTGCAATTGAGTTTGAACTGCAGTGGCAAACTGATCTAGGAAAGGTGGTCTAAATTTACTTTGCTAGGTGCCTGCAATGCAGATGAGCCAATGATCAAATGATCAATCTCTAAAGACAGTCATATCCTTGTTTAACAAATATCATGCACTAACTAGCTGGTAATCTTAACGTTAATATATAATTTCATTATATATTGGTGCCACAGGAGGATAAATAGTTCGGTAATAATCTTATTATCATGATATTTATTTAGGTATGATTAGGTCATAAGGTTTATATTAGAGGGACTATTTTCCTTGTTTTCTTTTTGAACACGAGAACTGAGAAAGCATATGATATATATGGATCCGCCAAAACCGAGGACCTGAAAAGAGAATGGGGACTATGTGTCTCAAGGAATCGGGAACTGTGTACGATTTTCTTCCAGACTCAAAGACATGGAATAAAGTTTAAAGCGTCCCACCATTTTAGTTGTACATATTTTTATGCATATACAACAAAGCAAGCTATAGCTGATGAGTGATGAGCTTGACGCTTTAAATGCCATGTGTTGCATCATGCATGGGGATTAATAACAACTCTCAGACATTCCTTCCTCTACCATTCTCCTTTATTACATAAAGTTCAGCTTTTGGACCCCCTTTAATTCGTTTTTTCATTTCAAAACAAAAAACACATAACCACCATGTAAAGAAAAAAAAAATTAATTGACAAATTACAATGATAGCATTTTTGCATCTTAATATTGCCCAGTATAATTTTCAATCACTACCTTTATTGGTGAAAAAAAAAACCCTAGCTAGCAGTTAAAAGGAACAAGGAGTAGAGCGCTTATGCTTCCTCACTTCCCCTCTTCTCTTTTTATTTATTTCTTTTCCTTAGTGTTTTCCTTGAGGGAAAAATATTCTCTTGTGATAGTTTTTCTTGTGATTTTCCTTGTGGTGATTTGATTTTAGCCGCACTCAGACTTGGGTTCCTGATCATCATCACTTTCTGCTCTTTTTTCATGCCAGGTCTACTTCTAATATACTTTTTTTCAATCTCTTATTTTGCTTAACTTTGATCATCACTAGTTTGAAGAACTTTGTTGCGATATGCTCTTATACATGCATTTAGCCTACTTTGGATACCAAGTTCGAGTCTACAATCCGTGAATTGTTCCACGAGTTCTTAATTTATGACGATATGTGATGAGTACTATGGGGCGAGACTTCGATTCATGGTGGTGGTCAAGGTTTAGGGTTATGAGATACTTTATGGTGGTGTTATTGTAGGTTGTATTAGAGTTGCTTTGAGTTTTGCTTAAATGTCGTGATGTAGATTAGTATACTTGACATGTATATCATGATGTATAATTTTTTTTCTAATGAAATATGATTTCGTATAAAAGATTATTCCTATAACATCCAATTCAAAATTAATCAACAGTACATTTAAATTTCGTTATTACTTATACGAAAAGTTCAAAAAAACTTTATTTTAATAAAAAATGACAAATAAAGGTGTAGTGAATAGTACAAGAAAAGGTAAAAATGTAGTTTTTCGTTAAAAGTAAACAATACTTAAAGTGTTTCGTTAAAATTCCCTAAAAAATAAGATAAAAAACTAAAAGACAATGTTCCGATCCGATATTACTTTTTAAAGAGTTTATTGGGTAAGATTTAACGACTATAACCCATGAAAGTGAAAGCATTGTTAGCAAATCAAAGGGTTGAAAAGACAAGAACTTCATTGCGAAACTTTGAATCTTATTCTATAGATACAAAAGAAAGAACAATACAAAACTGTGAAGAAGATTATATCACAAAAAAAAAAGGGTAAAATACAAAAAACTGCCTCAACTATTGGTGTCACGACACTTTCATACCTTATCTTTTAAAATTGACAATGTCATACCTCATCTTACGAATTTGTGCTAATATCAGACCTCCGTCAGTTTTTCTGTTACTTTTTCTGTTAAATGCTGACGTGGCCAGAAACAGGACCCATTTTTTATTAAAAAATTAATTAAATATTTAAAAAAAGTAATTAAATATTAAAAATTAAAAAAAAAAACAAAAACAAAAACGAAAAAAAAAAACCCATCAACTCAGTGTCGCCCTCCCCGAAAATCCAGATCCCCTTATCTGAGTTCTCTCCCACCCAACCCTCTATCTCGTCTTCTCTCTTCCTGCAACCTACATTCCTAAAATCCCAAAACCCAGAAATCCTTCCCACCCGTCCCCCCCTAACCTTCCTCTCCAATCCCACCAACGACAACCTTACCTCTGTCGTTGACTCCAGCAATGACAGCCATGACCCCCAATGGCCCCCAAACCCTAACTCTAGCCACAACCTCCACAACAACATTCCCTTATCCTCCTCGCCCCCGAAGTCTGCCCCTTCGACGATTTGCAAGAGAAAAACAAAATAATAACAACAACAACATTCCCAATAGAAAAACTATCCGTTTTTCCTAGAAAATTATGAGATTTTCCAAGAAAATCAGAGGCATGAGAAATAGAGAGAGAGTTGTGATCTGAGAGTGGCTCTCTTTGATCTGAGTTTCCGATAAATGGTGTATATAGGCGGGTCAGATGAGGAGGAGAGAGTGGAGGTGAAGTCCATGGCGATGGGTTCTAAGAGGGCAAAGCCTCTGCACTAATCTCAACTTGCCGTGTTATTTGAAGTGGGGGAACCAGAAGCACCTATGGTGCCAGAAGGAGAGCTCGGACGCCAACGGGAAGTGGCGGGGAACGGTCTGGGGTTAATCGGCGATCGTCAGCTCAGAGGATTGAGAACTCGCTGGCGGTGATGACTCGGGTAAGAATGGTTTCTGGGTTTTGGGATTTTAGGGATGCAGGTTGCAGGGAGAAAGAGAGAGAAAAAGAGGAAAAAGAGGGTTGGGTGGGAGAGAACTCAGAGAAAGGGATCTAGGTTTTTTGGGGGGGGGGGGACACGAGTTGATGGGTTTTTTTTGGTTTTTTGTTTTTAGTTTTTTTTTTGTTTTTATTTTTTTTTAATATTTAATAATTTTTTTAAATATTTAAATATTTTTTAATAAAAATGGGTCCCATTTTTTGCCATGTCAGCATTTAACAGAAAAAGTAACATAAAAACTGATGGAGGTCTGACATTGGCACAAATTCGTAAGATGAGGTATGACATTGTCAATTTTAAGAGATGAGGTATGAAGGTGTCATGACACCAATAGTTGAGGTAGTTTTTTGTACTTTACCCCAAAAAAAACTACATTTTACCGAGACTTAATTCTTACGAGTTACATGAGGTTTATTTATTAAGATCTAATCCTGAAACAAATATGAGAGAAATCTTAATGTATAAAATACCAAAAATACTCTGGGTAAAATAAATTGACATTGCTAACTTTTCCAACAAACATCAGTTAATAAAAACTGACAGAGGTCTAACATTGGCACAAATTAGTAAGATGAGGTATGACATTGTCAATTTTAAAAGATGAGGTATGAAAGTGTCATGACACCAATAGTTGAGGTAGTTTTTTGTACTTTACCCAAAAAAAAACTACATTTTACCGAGACTTAATTCTTACAAGTTACATGAGGTTTATTTATTAAGATCTAATCCTGAAACAAATATGAGAGAAATCTTAATGTATAAAATACCAAAAATACTCTGGGTAAAAATAAATTGACATTGCTAACTTTTCCAACAAAACATCAGTTAATAAACTTAGAATTTTGTGAAAGAAAGCTGTGAAGCTTCTTCAGAAGACTGTATATACATCCTTCTCTGGTTTCCATTATCTAAAACTAGATAAAATTCATGGACAATATGTTATGTATTAGCTGTAATGTATCATGTAAATTTTCCAATTTCCAGTATCCAAAACTGAATAAACTCTTCTTCTTCAGCTGTATCAGTCACACTTGTATTTTTTTTTTGTGGGCACTGTGTAAGCTTTTTTGGTGGCTGGATCAGTTGGTCTTATTCCATATAGCACGAAACATACAAAGGAGAGCTAAAACACTACTCGCCACCATGGCTAGGTGTTTAAGCTAATAACATTATAAAATACATGCATTAAAAACTAAAACATATGTACATATATGCAGAGATCCTCACACAAAAAAGGAGAGATCTTCCGCGACGATATAAAGAAATATTATAATGTAATTTTACTGAGAAAAAAAAGTTCCAATACCCTTTTTCTTAAAGGAGATAGTAGAATTT